TTCCCCAGAGGAAGTCACCTCAGTCATCATCGCCCCCGAGCATGGTTCCCCAGCAGCGAGCACTGGGCGTACTCTCAGGACAACGTTCATCTCACAGGGGAAGAACGTGTCTCCTTCCTGCTGGCGGGCCGCAGCAGTGCCATCCTGCTCTGGGCGCCGGACACGCCTCGAAGGTCCTCTTTCTGTCTTATTAGCTCATCCAGTGGGTTGTCAGAAACGAATGGAAATAAAAATCTGTGGTGTGTGTGATGGAATTTAATTCCACTACCGGATCCTATAGAAATGGATTTAATACCAATGAGGGGCCGATGCTGGGGTGACGAGGAAAAGGAAGTCGAGGGAGAGCCAGGAAGGCCGCAGGGTGTTAGTGACTGCGCCGTGGCTGCGTCAGCCCTTCACAGGGTGTGTGGTCTGACCCCAGCACAGGCCGTAAGTGGTGCAGGAGGCGGGCCCTGGGCTTCCCTGGAACTCCAGCCTCATCCAGTGCCTGACACACAGAGATGGGTAGTAAAGAAGTGCTGTGGGTGGGGTAGTGTGGGCGAGCAGGGAATACCTGCTCAGAGGAAGAGCTGGAAATAGGACAGGTGGGTCCAAGCGGTCAGCTGGCACAGAGCTGCAAGGGCAGCAGCTTGTCTGGGAACAAAACTCTGTAGGGGGCTGAGGCCGACAGGGCCTGTGAAGGCCGACAGGAAAGAAGTGGACGATCAAACCGGGTAGTGTGTAGCCCAGTGGTTCTCAACCTTCCTAATGCCGCGACCCTTTAATACAGTTCCTCATGTTGTGGTGGCCCCCAATTTCATTGTTACAAATTGAACATAATTAAAGCATAGTGATTAATCACAAAAACAATATGAAATTATATATGTGTTTTCCGATGGTCTTAGGCGACCCCTGTGAAAGGGTCGTTCGACCCCCCAAAGGGGTCGCGACCCACAGGTTGAGAACCGCTGGTGTAGCCACTTCCAGCAGAAGCACGAATTGAACACGGACAGCGATGCCATCTGCAGTTCTGGGATGAAACCTCCAGGGACCAGATGAAGGTCAGACCAGGGGTGAGAAATGTCTTTAAAGAGGAATCACTGATCATTAAAATAATTCACCTGAGGGTGATGTTTAACGTCACCTAATTTTAAGTTTGATGGGTGAATGAATTATGGGGGGTGGGAGGGTAGCTAGGGAGTTTGGAAAAAAATACAAAACACGTTACTCTTTTAATGAGGACAATAAGAAACAGCATTAGTAGAATTAATAAACTTGTATTTCAAACACACAGAAACCAAAATCGAGACACATGGTGACACGCAGAGGGGACACCTGTCAGCTAGCCACCCTGCGGGGCTCCGATGAGCCACACTCCCCTCTGGTGAGCCCCGTCCTGGGTCTGCCTGAAACAACGGGTGTCCCCTCTGGCACTCCGCTCCGTCTCCATTGTACAAGAACTGAAGTGCTCTCTAGTCGAGGGGAACTGCTCACATTTACAATTGTCTCTAGCAGCCTAAATGGCATTTAAAATAAGTGCTGTGAATTGATGAAATGACCAATTATGTTAACTACCCATGCCTGGTGTAATCCAAACCAAATCTTACCCCATTATCCTCAAAACGGCGAGGTGACTCAGCAGGCCCTCCTGCCAGCGATTCTGCAAGAACCAAAACACACAGGCCGCCCTCGAGTGGGACCTCGAGTACTTCAGTTAATTCTTGCAATTGGTTTTTGTGCTGGAAAATAAAATAACCGTACTACATTTCTCCTCAACAGCGTACGCACCACGCAACTGCCAGACAACACTGCCACCATTATGTCATTTTGTCCCACTCACTCCATTATCCCCTCTTCTCTGTATCCCATTATTCTCTTTAAACACCTCTCGGTGGGTGTGATGTCATCCCAAAGTGCCCGAGTCCCTCGTCACCCGCACCTGCCCCGTGACAACCCCGTGGCTGTGATGCTCTCGGGATCCTCTCGTGCCTGCATACTCTCGCTGCGGCCCCTTCTTGCAATGCTTTTTTTCCCATTTCCAAGGCCCCCATCCATCCATTTTTTAAGACTTCACTCAAGTGTCAACTCTCCCAAGAAGTGACAGCCCCTCCGCTCCCATCCCCCTGACAAGAGCAAGTGGGTCCTCTACACAACGTGACTTGTCCGCTTCCTTAGCTGCTCTGCATTCTAGTAGCTCAGCCCCAGGACCACTCCGCCCAGCAGGGCCTCCCCGTGCAGCTGGTTCAGCCAGCTCTGCTCCAATGCGGTCCACAGCCAGGCTGGGCTTCTGCTGGCTGGTCCCTGGGCCTGTGTCACCTGATAGAACAGTGGTTCTCAACCTCCCTAATGCCGCGACCCTTTCATACAGTTCCTCATGTTGTGGTGACCCCCAATTTCATTGTTACAAATTGAACATAATTAAAGCACAGTGATTAATCACAAAAACAATATGTAATTACATGTGTGTTTTCCGGTGGTCTTAGGCGACCCCTGTGAAAGGGTCGTTCGACCCTCAAAGGGGTCGCGACAAACAGGTTGAGAACCGCTGCGATAGAAGCTTCATCTTCTACCCCACTTCCCAAAACGGGGCTCTTTAGGGAGCCCTGCTCATCTGCAACCCACTCCCTGTGGCTGGAACCTGTTAACAGAGTTCTTGCCTATAATCTGATGTCTAGAAAAACGTCCTCCTGCTTGTTCGAGGGAAAATGAAGGTATGTGCGCATATTTTTAAAAGTAAAGTACAAAGATGAAGAAGCAAGCGTAAGTCAGGGCGTTTTCGTCTACCTGAGTCTAACCTGACCCTTCCGCTGGTAGGACAGGGCAGCCCCCTTCTTCATACACCGTTGCCTTTTTGCAAAACTTTTGCTTGTGGGCTTCAGCGAGTTCTTTTTTTTTTTTTAAATATATTTTATTGATTTTTTACAGAGAGGAAGGGAGAGAGATAGAGAGTTAGAAACATCGATGAGAGAGAAACATCGATCAGCTGCCTCCTGCACACCTCCCACTGGGGATGTGTCCGCAACCAAGGTACATGCCCTTGGCCGGAATCGAACCTGGGACCCCTCAGTCCGCAGGCCGACGCTCCATCCAGTGAGCCAAACCGGTTCCGGCATTCAGCGAGTTCTTGATGAGCCCGTACCACCCACCAAAGAAACACAGAAATATTAATTAGGATAGTTCGAAAAACCTTGTCACAATAAGTGTCTGGAGAACTCTATAGACAGAGCTAGCAAATGAAGAAGAAATAGCACAGAAAAACAAAGTTGACAAATCCCGGCCCACACTCCCAAAGTCTCTCCAAGATCCTTCTGATTTTCACATGTACAAAGAAATAAATGGGCTGCACCAAACTGGATGTGGCTTCAATGAGCTTCTGACGTACGTCATAATTTCATTCTCAATGCCTCGAGTAATTAGGATTGTTAACCCTATCAGGACGAGAAAAAAGGTCTCCCACCCACGAGACAGACTCTCCGCCAAACCACTCAACTTCAGAAACCCTATCAATGTTGATCCTCAGGCTTTTGCCTGAAACAACCCAAAAATAAGGTGCTTAGAGCAAATCTTACCTAATGTGAAACTCAATGACTAAAAATCCTATAAGAAAATGCTCTAAGTAAATTAAACCCCTTTTCTGAAAATAATTCAAACACCAGTGATATTCATTGCTATAGATCTAGAGGGAAAGGGAGGGTACACAGCCCTTTGAAATTCCCTGGAAGAAAGCCAAAGGCTCATCAAGGTCGATTTCCATATATACCATCTAAAGGGGGAACAGAGGAGATTTTATAAAAATTATGTATTAATTTCTGAAAGCGGAGGGAGTTCTCCTTTTTTCTTAATTAGGATGTCTATGGTGGTCATTAAAATTAGCATTACTCAAACCTGCCTGCCTAAATTTCACCCTGTACCAAGCAAAAATGCAAAGACATTCTTAAGTTCCCAATTTCACAGGCTATTAGAGCGACAATATGCAATTGCATGGCCTATAAAACAACGATAAACATGTGACATCATTCAAAACTGTTTGAGCTACTCCAGAAACCTAAAGATAAATGTCACTTTTCTTAGCCACGTTTATATTCACCCACGTGGCCAGCCCTCAGCGTGTACATTTAAGGAAAAGAGGCTTAAACCTACCAAACAGGTCTAAACCAACCAAAATGCACTGGAATGCCTCACCTTAAGCCCAGTACAGTTCTAAACCTCTTGGTCCAACCAAATCCGCCTGATTTGGGCCCGGTGTACCACTCTGACACCTGGCCAGTCAACAGAGGCTGGTGGCCCGAGGAGCCAGCCAATTCCAGCTGATCTACAGAGCAGATATCCAAAACAGCAATCACCCAAAAGTACTTTCTAGAAGTATTTAGCATGCATCTTACTGCTATTTTAAACCATCTATTCTTCTTTAACTTTGGCTATTTCCAAAGAAATTTAATTGCAAAAGTCGAGATGAAAGTTTGAATTCCTCGAGCACACCGCATGGGAGCTTGGCACAGCAGCTGATCGTGGGCTGGTCAGCAGGAAGGCTGTCCCCCTGCAAATGATGCTTGCAGGGACAAGGGGTGTCTGAACTCTGAGCCTCAGAACTAACCACAGTCACCCATCCAGGTACGTGTGGATGTTAGGGGTCAGCCAGGAATACGTGGCCCTCCATGGTGAACAAATTGCCAACAGACACCCAAAACATCCGGAGCACTAAAAACACGCAACGGGGTTTGATTTTACCAGCCTGGTTGATGCTATTGTCACATCCGAACTGCCGCGTGATTCCAAGTTCACCAAAGCAAGCCAAGCACGTCTAGAATAGGACCAGTAACGATAGACCAAAAGGAGCAGTCCTGGTTTCAGACTAGCAATTCACAGCAACCAGAAGATGTGAGTAGGAAGAAATGACAGACCCGACCCACAGCAGTCACACTTCTCCAGTGCCCACTCCTCAATAGGACAGAACTCTGCTGGTTGGCACCAGAAGAGATGGTGGGGAAGGGGGAAGGGACTGGGTGCTTGTAGAGACCTACCTTGTAGAAGGGCTCCATTTCTCTTGAAGAAGGTACTGCCCGGCCAGATGGGTGGACCTGATGTGCTGAAACAGAAAAGAAAGCAGCGTAAGGATGGGCTCATTTACACCCACTCACCTATACTCTGAGCAACCCATGCTCTGAACATGTCACTCAAAATGACCTCAAAATGCTTTCCCAATTATGTATTACTAGAGGCCTGGTACACGAATTCATGCACGGGTGGGGTCCCTTGGCCTGGCTGGCGATCGAGGCCTATGGGGCGGGGAGGGGGGGAGGGGACAGCCGGCCAGGGGGAGAGACCCCGAGAGGTTGGCTGGGCTGGGAGGAAGGGAGGGAGGCAGCGGGAGATTGGCTGTGGGAGTGCACTGAGCACCAGGGGGCAGCTCCTACGTTGAGTGTCTGCCCCCTGGAGGTCAGTGCACATCACAGCAACTGGTCAACTAGTCGTTCCAGTCATTTGGTCTTAACGGTTGCTTAGGCTTTTATATAAATAGATTTATAACCTCTGAAAATGCAACTTTAAAAACCATTACTTTTGTTTTATGATGAATGGGTCGGGTCTGTCATTTCTTCATCTTTCACAGTGCAGAAACAGTCCATGTGGAATTGGGGTTACCATCTGGACCCTGCTACCTTCTGGGCATTAGAATTGTTTGCGGATAAACAAAATGGCAAATTCATACAGTTCAACGCCATTGCTTATAACTTTTGCTAACTTGTTCTTGGTTTTATGATTTTATGTGGCAAAGAACTTCTATCCCTGCCTGAGACCAGGTGGGTTTTCCAACACTTCCTGGTGCCACCTGCCTATTTATAAATGCAAACCTGCCTCTCTTGGCTTTCCCACCATCAAATCCTTAATATACAGACATGACCTTGATCGACTCTCTCCCTCCCCTACCTTCTTGTTTCTCATCCTGTTTTCAATTTCTTGGCTTAAAATGTTGCACTCCATCCCCTATAATACATTTTTCAAATGTCACCACCCACAGTCTGGTAACAAGAGAGGCAAGAAAATAAGGAAGATCAATATATCACAAAGACATTTTACTGCATTTATAGACAAGCATTTTCACTGTTTTAAAATACCCAGTGAAAAACTTTATAACCAAGCCTGCCTGAATGAAATATCCTTGGAGTGGAAAGCAGGTTATTCTAAATCAAGCAGTGAATGTTAGAAAGCACTTAGTTAAAAAAAAAAAAAAAAAAGTTACTACATCCAGCCCAAGAGGCAGCATAAGCTACTTTCAGCAAAATAGTTCAGGGCAGCTGAACTGGTTTGGCTCAGTGGATAGAGCGTCGGCCTGCGGACTGAGGGGTCCCAGGTTCAATTCCGGTCAGGGACATGTATCTTGGTTGTGGGCACATCCCCACTGGGGGGCGTGCAGGAGGCAGCTGATTGATCTCTCTCATCGATGTTTCTAACTCTCTATCCCTCTCCCTTCTTCTCTGTAAAAAAATCAATAAAATATATTAAAAAAAAATAGTTCATGGCAAACGATACTGGTTAACGCATCATCAATCACTTTCAATATTAAAAAAATAAAAAGCTGGTCCGAATAACACATGTGTAAATTGGGCAGATGGACACACGCAGGGAGAATAAGAAATCTGAAGGGCTATACGACTGATGACTGCTTCACTGATGCCCAGGGTCCCCAGTAATGCAATACTGTTAACGAAAGGAGAAATGCCAGGGACCCGTGCTGCTGATGGACACATCGTTACCAGAGGTACAAACAGTATCGCGGGTCCATGGACACATTCCATAATTGGGAAGTAGAAGGAATAAAAGAGCGACAGCGCAAAAACACTATTCAACAGCAGATGATGTCAAGTGTGCTAGAAAACACATTGTAACCTGCGATGTACATGAACCTTTTTGTTCTACTGTGTTTGGATCCACTGTACTCAGACTGAACGGGAATAACCCAAATCTGTGATGGCTTTTCCTGCAACCCTGACCCCCCCCCAGGTCTGGCCATGGTGGCCTCTGGGTGGCCAGGAGTTGCCCAGGGCAACAGCAGACCTGGCTGGGGTCGCAGGGCTGTGGGATGATGGCAGCAAGCTGATTTCTCTTCTGTCTCATTCCTGGCCTATTCCGTTCTGAGGCTTTGCAGCTCAAAGTTGAATGAAGAATAATATGCACTAAAAGGCTTAAGATTATCTTTTAACAACCCCAGCCAGCTCCTGGGATTTCACCATAAGAAAGCAGGAAGCAGCAAGCTGGCTGTTGCCAATACTCAATCACCTGATTTCTAAAGATATTTAAAAACCGAGGACTTCATTATAGAGGAGTTGGTGCTTCAAGAGAATTCAATAATTGAGTATTACTGCAGGAGCCTGAATATCTAGCTTACTGCCACCCAAATCTCCTCTTTATCCTGACCTGGATTTGGCTGAGAACCGAGTAGATGCCAGCGATGGGGTAAATGGGGAAGCAAGGGCGGGTAAATCCAGTGGTTTAGATAAGGAAAATTCTCTCTACCATAGAAATCTACTTAAAGGTTTCTACAACATCCTTTTAACGTAGCTAAGTCTCCAATCACTATTCCCGCTGCCCTGCTGTGTGGTCTGTGTAATCTGTAGCCGAGTAATGGAGAGAGATTTGACTGGCCACCCACCTGCTCTGGCCTGGCCCCCCATTGGGACTGATGAATTCACCTGTGGTCTTCCTGGCTCAAGGTAAACTGGTTCACATCACACTCATTACAAAGCTTTTGAGCTCACTGGCCCCATATTCTACATTCTTTTTTTTTTTTTGGATGGTCCCTCAAAATGACATCTTCTAACTATTAGCACATTCAAGGATGTATTAAGTGCTTACTGAGAACTGTGCTGGATGTTAAGAAGGACACAGGAAGTGAGGGAGGGGGATTAAAAGGCACCTTTTATGGCCTCCAGGAGTTTTACTGACATACTTACCTAGCTCCAACCTCCTAGGATTCTATCTAAAGGGACAGGAAATGCCCACAGAAAGGTCAATGGTTACAGTCCTGTGGCTGCAGGTAGGAGAAGCTGCAAACTGATTTTTTCCCTCGATGTGGAGTTGTTTCCAGTTCACTGGACTTTAAAGCTCAAAGTGAGCTTAAAACATTATATGAAATTACTTAAAAGTGTGTGTCAAGCCCAGTAATTCAGAGAAGGTGCTGTGGTCAAGGTCTTTGTGGGAGAACCTGAGTCACCCTGGAAACCACCCATTCATTCGGCAAACCAAGAGAGGAGGGTGGGGGACTCTCCACTCAGTGCTAGGTGCTGGCGACTTGTATATGGTCCCTGCCACCACTTCTCTAGGACCTCTTCAATCTACCAAAGCGGGTTTTCATTACCACACAATGGTGCTCACGTTGCTTGAAGCGGGGACAGCAAATTCCTGTTTACAGAGTAAGCCACCAACACGTTTCCAGGGAACCCTCCAATCCTGTGGGAGGGTAGGCAGGCAGGACTCACCTTCCTCCTTCTATGGACAAGGAGATAGAGGCCCTGAGCAGGGAGGGAATCACCCAAGTCATCTAGTGAGCAGCCCAAGACCACACCAGGGCTTGCGGGGCCAGCCCACTGTTCCCACACAAACACATCAACGGGCTGGCTTCATTCCTCACCTCCGGCTTTCCTCTTCCTGTCTCCCCGCACTGAACTCCTAGCTATCGCTCTGCATGGAAGAAGGCTGTGGATGGAATTTCACCAAGACTCTCTCCAAGGCTGCCCAGCCAGTGTGGTCCAGTGGTTGAGCATCGACCCACGAACCAGGAGGTCAGGGTGCAATTCCCGTCAAGGCACATGCCTGGGTTGTGGGCTTGACCCCCAGTAGGGAGCATGCAGGAGGCAGAGAGTGGATCAACGATTCTCTACCATCATTGAATCATTGATGTTTCTCTCTCTCTCTCTCTCTCTCTCTCTCCCCCCTCCCTCTCTGAAATCAATAAAAACATTTAAAAAAAATCTCTCTGAGGCAAAATCCCACGCTAGAAAAAGCAATCAGGCTAACCATATGTGAAACATGGCACTGGGCTCCTATTAGCAGAAACAATACAACACGGGGCCACAAATGTCTCATTTCAATGAGGTGCTAACAAAATTCCGTGAACTTCAGCAACTATAAGCCAAACCTGCTTTGTGACAAAGGAAGCCAACCAACAGGACCAGAAAGGCAGTTGTGAACTGGCATTTGAGAACATTGATCCATCGGATCGTTAAGACCAGAGCTGAGTCAGCAAATCCCAAGAGACGAGTGGTATCATCCTGAACAGCACACCCAGTGTCTGCCTGAGACTCACAGTCCACCATCGCTCCCTGGGCCGCACACTCTTGTCTGCATGGCTTCGAACTCCCAACGGGACACCGTGACTCAACAGGTCATGGACCCCTAAGGTGGCTCTTGGCGCAATGATGTGATCTGTCACGTGTTTTCTCTACACCCGTGACCTTCACCACCATGAGAATCGGCTGGACTGTAACTAAGACCCTGAGAGGCTCTGGCACCACCCACACCTGTACACTCACCAGCCTGGAGTTTCTCTAAGTCTAATGGAAAGCAAATTAAGGCCCTAGCCAGTTTGGCTCAGTGCATAGAGCATCGGCCTGCAGACTAAAGGGTCCTGGGTTTGATTCCGGTCAAAGGCACATGTGTGGGTTGTGGGCTCTTCCTTCCTCTCTGAAATCAATAAAAAAAATTTTTTCAAAAAAAAAAAAAAGCGCAAATTAAGAAAAGTACTTTTTTTCTAAGCTGCCAAATGTGACTAGGTGTATCTAAAAGAAAGAACAGGATACAACATGATGACCCTCAAGGACACTGCGCTAAGTAAAATAAGCCAGACACAAAAGAACGAATCCTACATATACATGGTTCTATTTCTATGAGGTCCCTGGAGGAGTCAGGTTCACAGATAGAAAGTAAAATGGTGGTTTCCAGAGGCCGGAGGGAGCGGGGAAGTCATTGTTTAGTGGGTTCAAAGCTTCAGTTTTGCAAGGAACTGGCTGCACAGCTATGTGCATGTGCTTAGTACTACTGATCCATACAATGGTTAAGATGGTTAACTGTAAAATGGTTAAGATGCTGTAT